CTCTCAGCCTCAGAGGGTGGCAAGGACAAACTCACTCTGGCGAAATTTGCCACGAAAACCCCATGATAGGGTCACCATAAATTGGAAACAACTTGAAGACACACAATGACAGCAACAACAATGTTGTCATCTGGAAAATATTGTCATCTCTTGCTAAAAAATGTGTTAATATAGTCATTTGATTTTCTTTTTTCCAGCCTTCTACGGGTTCAGATGTGTCTTTAGGATGCAGCCATGTAAACCCATGGATCAGAGCAGCGGGGCATCCTTGAAAAGTTGTGTTGCCCCAGTTGTGTCCTGGAACAGCTTGGTATTTTAGCAACCGTCACACCAAGTAGTGTGAGTTGCAAAAACATGGGAGTTGTAGAGTGAAGGAACAAAATGGCTTAGAAGGGAGTTCCTGCACTCCCAGAACCAAAATCCCGATCTTGCCTTTCCCATCTGTGTGTGTCTCTCTCACACCCAGACAGCAGCGTGCACAATTGTTGTGCAAACTCACAAATGCACATACATACTCTCCTCCCCAGTTGGTGGATCCCTTGCCAGCGGGGCATTAAATCCACTCCAGAGTTTCCAGCTATCCTTGAAAGGAGCTTTGAATCCTATCTGTGGTTCCTCCAAAATAGTTTCAGGGCCTTGGAGAGCTTCTGTGCCCTGATCCAATGCCGCCCTCTGAGGCTGAGAGAGTGTGGCTGGACCGAGCTCCTCCAGTGCGTTTGCCAATTCAGGGCAATGCTTTGTTAATGCCAACCTTTGCGCGACGCTTTCTCTGACGCCAGCCTCGCACCAGTTCCTTTTATACCCATTTTACAGGCAGAGCAAATGGAGGCCAAGTCAACAGGTGCTCCTGGAATTACAGTGAGGATTTGAACCCTGAGCGAGGATTCGAACCCTGGTCTCCAGAGTCATTGTTCAACATTCAAACTTCACTGGCTCATGGAATAGATAGATGGAAGTGTTAATGGCAAAAAAACCTCCCTATTATATATATATATATATATATATATA